GACTATGTTCTCGTTCGGTGGAGAGATCGGCAGGACGAGCTGTTGACGAAGGCGATCTACGAAGCCGATGGCTGAACGGGCCACCGTCTCGTCATCTCCAAGATGAAGCCTCGTCTGCAAACCCAAGGAGGGGGGGGGCTACAAGTTAAGCGACCCTTAGGTAAGCTGAATATTGCTTTGTTGTCTTTGCCTGCTCACCAATTGCATTTAAACAACTACCTGACCCAGCGGCTGGAAGACCTGTCAGCAGCAGATGAAAACGTCTCCGTGGAGCCTCGACGGTACCAACTGCGGGACGCCGTTCACTCGGCCATCTCGGCTGTCCTCGGCCGTGCACGTCGCCAGCACCAGGACTAGTTTGACGAAAATGACGCCACCATCAGTCACTTGCTAGCCAGGAAAAGTAAGCTGTACAGAACCTAACTCGACCGTGCGGCCGATGCGAACAAAACGGCCTTCCACTACTGTCGCCGCCTAGTGCAGTAACGATTGCGCGAAATGCAGGACGCTTGGATGGCCCGCAAGGCCGAGGAGAACCAGGCATACGTCGAACTCAACGACTCAAGTAATTTCTTCACTGCTATCAAGACGATCTACGGTCCCCGACCAAAGGAACTGCACTGTTTCTAAGCTCCGATGGATCAGCGCTTTTGATGGAGAATTCGTAGATTCTGAAGCTTTGGGCCGGGCACTTCAGAAACGTCCTCAACAGCCCCTCCACAATGTCCGAAGTCACCAACGACCGGCTCCTCCAAGTGGAAATCAACGTCGACCTGGACCTCCCGCTCCCCATTTTAGAAACCATACGCGCCGTACAACAACTCTCCGGAGGAAAAGCATCAGACTCCGATGCAATCCCAGCCGAAATCTACAAGCACGCCGGCTACCGCCTGATGGACGAACTCATTACGCTATTTCAGGAGATGTGGCACTGTGGGCAACGTCCTCAAGACTTCAAGGGCTCAACCATTGTTCACTCCTATAAGCGCAAAGCCGACCGGCAAGTCTGTGACAAGCGCAGGGACATCTCGCTACTCAACATCACCAGGAAGATCTTCGCTCACATCCTCCTCAATCTTCTCAACAGACCTTTCGAGCAAAGACTCCTGTCGGAAAGCCAATGAGCTTTCGGACGGCATCGGGGCACCACTGACATGGTAGTTGCCGCTCTCCAGCTACAGGGGAAGTGCCAGGAGATGCGAATCCACCTCCAAGCCACCTCCGTGGACTTGACGAAAGTCTTCGACACGGTGAATCACGAGGGACTGTGCCAAATGATGCAGAACGACGGTATGATGTCACGCGTCACGGACAACGGCGCAATCTCCGAGGTATTCGCAGTGACCAGTGGAGTGAAACAGGGCTGTGTACTCGCTCCCACCCTTTTCAGCCTCACGTCCTCTGCCATTCCGATCGATGCCTACCGCGACGAATGCTCTGTGATACACATCGCCTACAGCACTGACGGGCAGCTTTTCACCAGCAGGTGTTTGGAGGCCCGGGCGCGGCTATCCAAGACCAAGGTCCACGATCTGCTCTTCGCCGGTGATTGCGCGCTCAACACCACGCCCGAAGTGGGCATGTGACGGAGCATGGAACTCCCAACATCTGGGTGCGCCAACTCCCGCCTGACAATCAACACGGACATAACGGTGGTCATGCACCAACCGCCACCCAGCACGCAACACCGCATTCCTCGAATCACTGTCGACGACCACCAACTCAAGACCGTGGACAATATTGCTTTTCTCAGGATTACACTTTCCAACTGCACCAGAACAACGATGAGGTTGCCAACCGGATCACCAAACCCAGCCAAACATTCGGCCGGCTGCAGAACTCTGTGTGGAATCGTTACGGCCTCTACCTGATTACCAAACTGAAGATGTACAAGGCCGCCGTCCTGATAACACTTTTCTACAGAGCGGAGACTTCGACCGTCAACTCCAAACATGCCAAGAAACTCAACAACTTCCATCGCAGCTGCCTTCGCAAAATAATAAAACTCAGATGGCAGGACAGATTCCCCAACATGAAGTCCTAGAACGAACTGGCATCATTAGCATTCATGCCACGTTCAGGCAACGTCTCTTACGTTGGAGCAACCATCTCGCGACGATGGAAGACACACGAATACCGAAACAAATCTTCCTTGGCGATGTAGCCACCGGGATCTTCAACAGAGGGGACCAAACCGACACTACAGGGATTCAGTAAAGGATTCTCTTAAGCTGTTGCATATCAGTCCAGAGACCTGGGAGGAGCTCGCCAGAACTGACCGGTCTGGAGAAAAGAAGTGAAGAATGGCTCTGGAATTTGCGAAACAAATCGGATCGCAGCTGCCAAAGATAGACTGGAGGCTTGCAAATCACAAGTGCCTTGCATCCTCAGTCTCAGTCATCCGTCACCTCTAATTTGCCCTCGCCTACTGCTGTTTGATCCAGCTGGACGTCGACGTGTTCATCGTCATTTTCACCGGATGACTCAGCAGATAAGAGCGCTCTGGCTGTTCACTGACAGTTCGACCATGGTTTTCGACGTTGTCCACCGTGCGCCCCACAGCTAGGTTGAGCAGGGATGACTTGCGATAACGATAAGAGACTTGCGCTGCATCTGCCGCTCTCCCCTCCTCTCCTACCTGGACCCGGTGTCAGGACACAGTCCAGATGACCGGAGGCGGAAAGAGCGCAGACTGTTTACTACTGTCTTATTGGTTACCCCTAGAGAGATAGTATCCGAACATTTACGATCTCGCCGTTCAATATCCTTAGATTTTTCTTGTCTGAGGCGGAGTTTCCGAGGGGCTCGGCTTTGGGTTCCGTCCACTTCTCCCACCCGGCTGGTGAGAAATCTCTCCGAAAAAACTGTTGGGCAGGCGACTCGGATTGCTGACTTTCTGTTCAGCAGTAGCGACACTTGTTCCTCACTTGGGAGAACAAGCTTTAGCGATCTGCGCTGGCTCGACGCATCATTTGAATCTTTTATTTGGTTTATCCTGAAGGCTTTTAGGATTAGAATGAGTTTGCAACTCTGGAATCTAATCAGAAAATGAACAGAATTAGAGGGTGAAACACTCACCAATCTGCAGACTTCCACAACTGGCGCCTGATCGTTAACCCGTCTTTATTCTGTCCTATGGGAGGAGATAACGGCAGTCTAGACACTACTAAGTTGACAGAATCTGCGGGTATTGGCTCGACTCAAGTTAAAGCCTACGAACAGTCGTAGGTCAATCAGAAATGGGAGTACACCGACCTACTGGCTTCCCGAAGCAAACGAAATCCGTATATCCCGAGCGTCACGGACAGGCAACCGACTACCGGGCCGAGGTCAGCAAGGTTGTGATGGCAGAGGGGGAGGGGATGACAGAGGATGCGGGCGGATTGATACAGTATTGTCTCGGGTTTATTCTGCCTTCATACAGTCAATCATAGCCCTGGATGCCAGCTGGAACCATCCACGGCAACGGGTTGCTGCCCAAAAACAGCAACGCTAGAGCAAACTTAACTTGCATTGTGCATTTAGGGCTGGCATTTGGCTTGTCTGACAACTACGAACATACCACAAAAGCGACCACTAGAGCAGTACACCCATCGCCCGCACCACAATCTAATGTTGAATTATAAAACGCGAACTACCGCTGCGGTGGTCGTATGCTGCACTCTGGAAGAAAGTAAGGAGTGTGCACAAACGTCTGGTCAGATTTGCTCTGCCGTACCCATAGGTCCCTGTTGTCACACAGACTGATTAACGTGGAGATTTGGGTGTATATGGAGCTGTAGCCGTCATTACGGAGTCTGACGGTTTTGTGCAACGTCCCGGGTCAGTCGCCTTCCCGGTGAGCTGCTCCAGACGGAATGACCCTGCAGCCCGGCGGACCGCGACATGCACACATGCGCATCCGGACGGTTATTGCCGCTCATGCGCAACGTACCACCCATTCGCTAGTGCAGCGCACACAAGACACTTGAACCTCCTCCCACAAAACCATAAAAGCGCCTGACTGACCACTTCACTCCCTTTCGAATATGACCCAACCATGTCTGCACACGCCCTGACTTCGCTTGTGGGTGCCGCCGCTTCAGACAGCGATTCTGGGTTAGTTTGCACGGCCAAATCCTTCATTGCGGCGTCTTCGGCTTTCATCAACTAAACGGGACTTAGCAAGGTTATTGTGGCGCTTTAAGTGGACTCTCACTACTCAGGACAACTGCCAAGCAGTTTCTCGATTACAAGACATATCGCCTGCTTGTCGCTGACCTGCAATAGCTGACGAAGACCTCTGTCTTCCACAAAGTCTGTTCCCGCAAAAAAATGATGCCTCCTGGTTGCAGACGAACGCCTCGCACAGGTTCAGTGTTTACATCATGAGCGTAAGGGATAACGTGGTCGGTTCGGAAAATTTTTAAATCCTTCCCAAAGTGCCACTGTGCCAAATTTCCCTTCCCCCTGACAGATATCTGTTAAGATACTTAGTTCTGCAGGATGTGGATGGTCAGACGTTTCTAGTTTCTTAAATGGCTGACAGATTTCGATGACTTCGGGAAGTCTTACGGACAAAGGAGAAAAGCAATGACGCACTGCGGCTTATTTACCGTTCTTAGCCAACCATAGTCCAGCCTCAGGCCAGAATGATCGGATGCGCAGGTCTATTCACTGGGCGAGGACGGTAAATCAGAGGAGAGGGAAGGGGCTCCGAGGTACGACGGAATCGTCCGTAGCCAGTCCTGCGATCCGCCCGGCTTGATGAAGGACAATCCGTCCTCTGACTCCATTACCTCTAATTAATAACCTCTGAGGAATTCAATATGATGCTAAGTAGAGGCAGCGAAGTTAAGGGCTTTAAGCAAAAGTGTTCTGAATGATGCCGTTAGTGATTCGCAGTACGTCTACTTATCAGCCTCTGTGGCACTGCGAGATGTTGCGCAGAGGCTGCGAAGCCGGATGCTTTAATATGCCCTGGATGACGCCGCCCTGCATGGACAAGGCACTTGTGTTTCACAGTAGGCCCAACAGAAGCCGTACTGGCGTAGAAACTTGCAATGAACAGAATACGCAACTGGAAACATGAGGCCGTACCGCATAAATACGGGGCACACAGGCAGCATCCTGCGGTCATGCCACAACAACCACTGCCTCAATTCCACTGAATCTAACTGCTTAACTTTGATACAGTCTACCTGTCAGTTTGCGGCTTCGACAGGTGGGTCACCTGTTCCGGATCGCTGACAAAAAAGGACGGTGGGGGTCTGCTTTGAAAGAGCAATCACACTGGTGCGCGCCCATTCCAAAGCTGCAAATTTCTGGCCTATCTCCATATAAAATCGGTTTGGTGGCAAGAAACTGCCGAGTCCAACACGTTTGCGACGAGGAATCCAGTTCAGAAAGGAGACAAGGAAGACACTAGTCGCGGGATTTTATGCAAACAAAAATGTCAGCAGTACAAGGGAAACAGCACGAATTCCATCCGAATTTCATAACAGTACGCCATGTAATTTCAGCGAAACCACAAAGCGGGATCCAATAAAAACCGGACCGCCTATCAAAGATGCAATTTAAGGTGTGACAAATAAAGCAGGATTGGCGATGTGGAGTAAAGAATGCTTGGTAATTGAAAAAATTGCAGTACAACAGTCAAACAAGGTAGAGAAATTGTCGTCGAAAAATAGCTTTTCATACAATTGGCAGAGAAGGGGAAGAAAGGTGGCGCTACAGTTTCTTTCTGAGGTCAGAGCCGAGGTCTTCGGGAGACGCTGCAACGGTTAAATCGAAAAGTGGTTTCATTGCAGCATGCGTGCGTTCCATTAGACTGTCCGCCTGATCCTCCGTCAAGCCCGTTGTTTGAATCGGTGGCAGGAGATAGACACCATATGGCACTATGACCGAAGGGTTAAACAACAGATGTTAAGTGGATTTTTTAAAGCTAAACAATCACGCTGCGTGCCGTTGCGCCAGTAAGTTCACAAGTCCGTGGACATGAGTGTCCCCCCGCTTTGAACCTGGCTTGGGTCATACGACTGATGCACTGAAGCGAAAGTGAGCATTCCAAAAGTGAGTGACGGGAAAGCGCTAGCCAAAATGGCACAAGCTAGGTCTGACGAAGAGAGGTGGTGGAGGCTAGCCTATGATCCGCCGAACAAGTGCTATGACTGAGTCGCATTCAGGTCATAGGCAGGCCAGGTGCAGGCACGGGGGCGATCTGGGGTCAGCGGCTGGAGACCACATACAACTGTAGGGGCGGTAGAAGTGAGCAAAGTGTTTTGCATTAATTTTAGATTTTATGTGCAAAACGGTCCCAACTATGAATCTGGGAAGGCCAGCAATGTTTCCTTTAGGATTCCCCATACTTCGGACAAGTCGGCCTTGTTAGGAGGATAACGGAGAAGCAGTCACTTTGTGAAAAGAATAGAACTTAGCGGCTTTAGGGCGATTCAAACAAGGACACAGATTTATTTACTCGGCGGAGAATAACACAGTAGCAAGTAGACTAAAACAGATGACGGCTGAATTGAATGACACTCATTTGCATTAGGTAATCGAGTGTCCCTGGAAAAAAATTACGGGTTCGGATGAAAACCTTTCAGTAAGTTGCATAACGATCAAATTGCCTCGTACAGTTAGTTTAGAGCACTAAACACAACTTCCATGGTAGTGCGAAATTGGTGTGGGCCATCATCAAAAGATCCCCTAAGTAAACAACTTAAAAGGCGCGACATTCTGGATTATCAAAAAACGAAAAAACCGATCCTCCGAACTGAGGAAAATTATTGTGAGAAGTAAAGGCGATATAGCGTATGACTGGATGCCGCAGACCAATACACTGATGACCTGTAAGAGTGGGAACAGAACAGTAGAGTTCTCTACGCGTGTGAGTTAGGTAAGAAAATTAGAGATAGGACAGGGTGGACATAGGGTAGGCCCACGTATCCCCGAAACAGGTAGACAGGGTACACCGCTGGATGGCCTACGTTGGTGTCTGCGGACGTCCACAGACCCCACATACATCAGTTTATGAAAGACTGGGTACGTCCATTAGCCAACGGCGAGCGATCCGTGGCTGACGGTTTTTTAAAGTCCAAATGCGATAAAAACGTAAAGGAACTAAACTGTTCCCATCACAGTAGGGTAAACGGAGAAAGCCAAGAGACGAACTGCACGGTTCGGTTAATTCCAAGCGAGTCCCAAAAAACTTCGGAAAAAGGAGGGTTAAAAACATCTCGGTAAACAGTAAAAAACCGAGCCCCAGTCGAGAAGCAAGTAAAACAGGAGAAGGTGGATGCGCCATTGGAAACACAGAAGGTTAAACCGGTGGACAATGTGTCGGTAGAGAAAGAAAATCGAGATAGTTAAGAGATGCCGAAGTCGACTGACTATGCACTAAACCGTAAAATCGAGGTTGTGTTCGACTCCCCGCCAAGTGGATAGGAGATTAGCCTGAAAGGCATTAACTACAAAGGTGTTCTCAGACAATGCAATCCCACAAAGACGGTAAGTTGCCACGGAGCTCCACAAACATAGAGGTCGAGCGCTGATGATAGCGAATCCCGGATGCGGAAGATGTTGTGGGAAAGAGGGGGCGGTCAGCACTTGGAACATACCGAGATGGTGTGCAAAGATTCAACATCAGCCAGTCATCAGGTGGGTCTTCAAAGCAAATTAGTGAATAAAAGCCCGAAGCAGGCTAAAAAATAACGTTGGAGTGCCTGGATTGCCCTATCGCGAAATGTAAATCTAACAGGGAAAAACAAAACAGTTACCTAGAAGAAATAAGTAGTAAAGAAAATCAAGCTTCAAATGCCTGGGGTGACAGCAAGACAGAATAAACGGACTCAGTGACGGTGACAAAATTCACTCTAGCATTCTGAAATGTTCGTTCGCTTTTAGACAATTCAGTCGTAAGCCAACCGGAAAGAACAGCCACAGTTTCCTGAGAAGTGGCATAGTGCAAAGTGGACATAACAGATATCAGTGAGACTGTCTTCTCAGGACAGGGACAATTGGAGTAGACAGATGCCGGATACGCTTTATTTTGGAGCGGACCTCCAGGGGCAGAGCGAAGAGACGCCGGAGTCGACTTTGCCACCAAGAAAGACGTCCTGATGCAGCTGTCTTGCCTTCCGCAGGACATGAGTGATCGTACCTTAATTATGAGACAATCGCTTCCCGGGAGATATTTTGTTACCGCAACCGGTGTAATAAGTTCTCCCTCCACTGTTCGCGAAGTCCTCTGTCGTGCACGTCAGCAATATGGTTCGCTTTACGATACAGGGAAATCCGTAATTTGTTTTCCAAGAAAAACTGGCCATACACGATCTACGTCAGCCACAGGATTGACAGAAACAAGGCAGCGCACTTTGGATACCCAAGCCTCGTACAGTTGAGGCTAGGGAAAACGCAGGACGGTTGGCTTGCTCGCAAACATACGTCGACTACGATAAGACGGAGAACATCTTCGCGGCCATCAAAGCAGACTACGGTTTCTCATTCGAAGGGACTGCGCAGCAACTCAAACGGAGTAGAAAAATTTAATGAATGAGAAGCCACAGACCCCGGGGCGTTGGGCTGCACCCTTCAGCGGTGTCCTCAACTCCATGCCCACAATCTTTGCGGATGCCATCAGTCAATTCCGTCGAGTGGACGCCAGTGACGAACTTGATCACCTGCCTGTCTTGTAAACGATACTAAGAGCAGTGCTCTTTGGTGGAAAAACGCCCGGCGTCGACCCAATTCCAGCCTATATTTACCAATATAGCGGTCCTCAACTCATGGACAAGGTTGCTTCACTGTCCCACGAGATGTGGACGCAAGAACTGATCCCTAATGACCAAATAAGGACAAGGAGTGCCTTCGAGCGATGTTTACATTTACCATTGTGAGAAGGTGCTTTGATCGATCAGGTTACGAGACAGGCTCGTCCAGTTCTCCGGTACACGTCAGCGGTCGCCATGCAGCTGCCTCTAAGTGCTCTAGACCGAGGTCAAGGCCCAACGGAACGAGCGTGTCACGTAACCTTCCTACGACTGTGAATACTTCTGATCGCAAACACCAGGATGGGGCAGTGGCTAAATGGCCAAACGTTGGAGTACTTAGCGCTCGATGACTAAGGCACCCGGGTTTCTTATTCCAGGTCACCCAGACCTGGGGTTTGGTATGACGGGCTGATGACAGTTAATACGTCAGAAACGGCCATCCAAGTCTCTCTTGTCTTTGTCGGTACCCCCCTTCTGTTTGTCATGTGTCACCACTTCTTTTCGCTACCTCTCCTAGGAAGGTCTTGCTCGTTTGCACCTGACATGGACCTTAACGTCATACACTGTCGCTCAATCAGGCGTTCCCATGTTGAGCCGTGTGCGAAAAAGTTGACGGTGATTGATAAAAACCCGGACAAAACAATAAGATACCATGACTTCCATCAGGCCCCCAACAATGGTCATATTATCGAACTGCCTGTGCGAGTTGCGGGTACAAATGATTGTGTTGAACGAAATCCTCTGGTCACTTCGGATTTCCGATTTTCTACTACGACGCTTTTAAATGACCAGTAAGTGTTTGGGCGCCAAAACTGTAATGTGACGAGCGCGAATGCTTTGGCAGGATGGCGAAATGGCCATCAAATAAGCACCTTCGGCTCCACCGAACAAGCAGACACGGATGGTAGATAAGTGCTAGCTGGGATATAAAAACTTAACTCTGGTACGCAGACTGCCTTATGAGGTACCACAGAACCACATTGCTAAACTGCAACGCGACAGCTGTGAACCGCCGGCAAATGATTTTGTGTACCATGGCCGTCTTGCAGTTAAGATTCCGAATCGAAGCGTTAGGGAGCGACAGTCCCATACAAACAATCTGAGCGGCCGTTTGGAACCCAAAATCCCCAATGAAGCCTCAGGCAACATATCCCATCGCTGCAATATGGTCCGCCCTTCGAAGTCCGCGGGAACAGACGCACTCAACAAACCTAGCTGCGTGGTGCCGGCAGATGGTATGCAAAGCTGGACAACATCTTCACCCGAATAGTTGCCACTCAGAGCCGTTTTGCAAGAGTTTGATGGTGTCCACAAACCTTAGGTATTGAAACCGGAATGCATGAACTTTACTCGATCCTGATACCCAAGGTCAGACGGCGCATCTTCATGGGTGTAAAGTGACCACTGCCCTCTCACGATAGGCGAGTCGCCTATTGCTTGCGTGGAAAACAGCTAATGATTGATTGGCGTATCTAAGACTGAAATAGCTAACAGTAATTAACAAATTATACTGGCGTTTCCGGCATTATTCAGAAGGCTTTGATGAAAAATTACGACTTCCGAACACAGCGACAGGACACTGACTGAATGATCTGGACTACGCTGTAAATGTCGCCTTTATAGCGCAAAACCAGGGTGACCTATAAAACCAAGCGTCGGGGACACCAAATCTTCATAATTAGTGGCAATCAGTTTGAAGAAAAGGCAACTTCTGGTGCCTAAGGGTTAAGTTGTTTCCAAATAGAGTAAGGACAACATCTTCACCCGAATAGTTGTCACTCAGAGCCGTTTTGCAAGAGTTTGATGGTGTCCACAAACCCGTCGCGATATTCCCATCGACGCCAGGCCTCGGGTGTAACGGGCATTCGTCCGGTTAGTCCTATTGATGATTGTAGATTCTCGGCTATGCGCGTGGGAGACGATCGAAAACGAATCATCAGCCACCGTTGTCTGAGAAACATTTTCCGGGCGAAGTACACCGACTTCGTCTCGAGGCAGAATCCAGTTGCTGTAACATCGCAAGGATTTCGCATGTCATCGAAAGGAGACAACTGAGGTGGTTTAGACATATCCTTTGTCGTCCGTCCCATGGGGTCAGTGCTACTGCGCTGAATTTGACGGTGTTGCCTAAATAGAGGCAGGGAAGATGTCGGCTCCAAACCTGGCCTGGCACAGTCCATCAGAAATCGGGGGTTCTTTGACCTTCTGTACTAGTCTTTGTTGTTGGGAGAGTTGGCGGACCTCTCTTAAGTCACTGCCGCTGATTCTGGCACATCTAGGAGTCTTATTCAGGACGCCATGGAGGTCATAGAGATTAAGCATGATCACAGCCGTACGAAACATAACGATCAACCAATGAGGAGGTGGGTATTTAGAATGGAGAACTTCCGTGTCCTCTTGAAAACGCTCAGATACGGGCAGCAGATACTTGCCACGTGGCGTGAGAATCCAATCGTGACCGTACAACACCACCAACACATAGCAAAGAAACGAGAAACCTGGAAGAGGATCTTGCATCGATGGAGGATATGCCTGGTTCCTAATCTGCGGTGAGAATCTGCCAAGTACTCAGCACCAACTCCGATAGATTGGAAATAACAAATCCCCTGTCGCTGTTGACTTTAATTTCGCCACGATTACTTAGTTCCATGACTATTTCAGGGCTGCTTGGTATCGCAGATTTGAATGCTGCCAGGTAACACTAGGACAAAGTATGGAGGGTGGTCAGGATGGATGACTAATTTGTAAAGACTGAGAGTTGAGAGTTTCCAACTTTGGGGTGGCGGCTATAAACATGAGCAAAGAAAATGTACCATTAACGACGGCGCAGAAGCGGGGCTCAGCAGATGCGGACTATGGCCTTTTTGTGGGACGAATGTAAAGTAGAAGGCTGCAACCGCGGCTTTTCAGTCGGACTAGGAAGTTGTTATGGCAAAGTTTCACTGGGGCATTAGCAGATCCTGTAGACAGTAAACAAAATAGTTTGCGTGTAGGTGCAGAGGCTAGTTCTCTGTCTCTACTTCTCTACCTAACGACAGACCTAACGCAGCCATTGCATAAGCACGGTTGGCGGATTTTTGTCAGCATAAAACAAGAACGCAGTCCGCAAAACAGATAAAATCACGATGTAAACCGGCGTACACGGGTGGCGGGTCATGACATAGGCAGACAGGAGATCAATAGGTGAGAGGAGAGTTGCTTATGACAGGCATGCCTTGAGTGCCAAATGAAGAGTTAAAAAAGGATGACAGACGGTGGCTTCACAGAAACGCGGAAAATGAACTTTCATAGCCTCCTGTGCAAAAAATCTTGAAGGGAACGCCCAAAGTAAACAGTTTTGGCACTAATCGGGGCAGCAATCGACCCAGGTCGCGAAAAAGATGTGGTTCGATCGCGTAAATCAGACGAAATCCTATCATTAAGTATGAAACTAGGTCGCGAGCCAGTAGTTCTGGTAAAGGAGGTTCTCGATAGGACGAAACAAATATGAAGTGAAGTGTACAGACCAGCTTGGGGATGCTACAACAATGACAGTCTTGGGAAATTAATATCCCCGAGGTGAACTCTTCACTCAAAATCACGGGTCGGCTCGGGTGTTCCACACTTCGGGCTTGGGTATGGCTGGCTGACGACGGCTAATAAGCCAGAAATGGCCATTCCAGTCTCTCTGGTCTTTGTCGGTAATACTATTCTGCCTATATATATATATATATATATAGTTGGATAATAAAGTTGTTTAGATATGCCCTACTTCGAAAGCAATACCATTTACTCTAAGAAAACAGGGGACGCGCTTCCACAAGAACACATGAACACCAGTTGGACAGTGAGAGACAAGAGCACTTGTTTCAGGTGGTCATGGAAGAGAAAATGATTTGGCTGAGAAAGTACGCGCAGTCAGTGACTGGCCGTCGAAGGGAGACCGAAAATTACTGGGAGGCCATATGGTCGGATGAACCATGTGGCCGTAGGCTTGTTAATTAAGATAATACATACGAAATGCTCAGGGCAGAAGGACAACTAATCATGAATTGTAGACTTACTTCAACAGTTGCCTACTGACACAAACACAGAGCATAAACAACTTTTTGTTGGAGGGTTTTAATAAGTAATTATGCTTTTTTCCATTTATCGTACGTTCGAAGACGACATGCGGGACCGATCCATAAAAATGACGGAATGGGGCATTCCTCCGAAACGACTATGTATGGAGGGGGAGGAGACAAAAGCAGATAGGAAGACGTTCGTCCCCAATTGAAATGCCGTTTCACGCATGCACTCGTGGCGCACGCTAGACGAAGACTCCAAACTTAAGCCAGCCCCTGTACTAAATCTCATATCCGACCGGCTTGACTTGAACTCTCCGCCGACCCAGCCAACTAGCGGGACAACTTGGTTCTATTCAGGACTGAGCGTTGGGAAATAATGGCTCCTTCCTACTGTGTCCTATGCAGCACTCCAACTCATCAAACCCGAGACTCCCTCATTAAAAACTGATTCGGGTATTTAGGGACCAGAACATAAGCGCTAGGTGCAGACTTGATGTCAGTCTCCCCAGCTACTACGTAAACACCTGTCTCAAGTCGTATTAACAGTTCTGCAATCAGAAAACGACAGGTTCGGGAATGGGAGGGGATACAGGTTACACAAGTCTGCTTAACTATAAAGAAGTCATGTGCAAGTCAGCCGTACGTCTTATCCGGCACAGTGGTGGCCATCGTCGTTTGCGAAGAAAAAACTTAGCATCGTCAGAGAAAAGTAAGTAGACGAAGAAACTGATGGCCAGGCCTACTGAGGTGGCCTGTGAAAAGGAAAAAGTTAAAGATTTCGGCGTCCGTGGAAAAGGAGCCTAATTCAAAGCCCAAAATGACAGCCGGACACAAGTGGATATCAGCTGGCACCCGCTTGGCTGTTTGATGACAATACTGATTAATTTTAGAAAGTATCGAGAGGATTAATGTCTGAAAATATATTTGGGGACCTACCCGGATTGTAGAACTTCTCTTTGTGATTCAAAAACTTATTGTAGCATGATACAACTACCGGCTGGATTGGGACCTGAGTTTGAATTGCCAGATGGAAGGCGCCTTTTTTGAACGGCATCAGACGTCCTGTATCGCAACGGGTCCCCTCAGGAAACATGAAAAGATTAATCTGCGTAGGCAAATAAAAGAGACGGGAAAACCAACCTTATCACGCTTAACCAGATCCGCAGTCTTACGCATAACTTCTATAGCTTTCTCGTGATTGTTACGCTTAATAAAAATAACTCTGGAATAATGCATAATGAGTCCAATCGGACCGAAGTAGCGCAGACTGTCCTTGGCGATTATCGAAGAAGGTTTTTTCCAAAGGTCACATAGGCCTGCAGGCACGGCAATTATAGGCAAAACAGTCAAAGTGACTTACTCAAGACATCAATGAAGCTCTGGTGATTTATTATGAAGATGCACTGCTGTTTATCATCGTAGGTATCAAGACCGTATAAGCGTGGCTGTAGACCCATAAACCAACGAGAACACCGGAAGACAGCCGTAAATTCGCTAAATAGGAGCTCAGGGGAAGGAGAATGAAAAATTACCAACTATTGGAATAGGACGGTCCCTTGAACACAAAGCGGACCAGGTAGATCACTGAACCGACAAGCATCACAATTCCATAAAGCGTGTAGGAAAGGTAATAGCGTAGCCTTGAGCGATAATCCAGGACGACGAAGAATAGAATAGCCGCGATAAAAAGACACCCGATTACTATCGCAAGCATTCTGTCAATGAATCTGAAGGGCGAAAAGGATGATGAAATAGCAACTGTTGATGCAAGAGGGTAAAGAAAAGTAAACATAGCGAAATTGGACACAGAGAAACTGGAAGTGGGGATTTTCGGTTTTCGGGAGTGAAACACATGAATGCCGCAAAACCATCTTACGCTTGCCAGAAGAAGTAGAAATGGGTGTTTTCGGTGTGCAATGAAACTTATAACTCCATAGTGCTTCAGGTTTAGATTCCCACGCAAAACATAACATGTACAACTACAGAAATGGTCCTTATACAATCTGTGAAGGGTGAAAAAAGGAGGATGAAACATAAACGATGGAAATGGACGAGTTTGACAACGACCTAACACCAATCAGAACGTAAGTGCCTAGACATTGGAAAAACAACAATTGCACCAGGGTGCTTTGAGAGAGCAACTGTATCTACACCGAAAACAATGAGGATATTGCTTCCACACTCGCTGGACAATTTGTTCAGACCTCCCACGTGGATAATTGCATGCGCTTGCACATACTTAACCCAGGACAATTTGCCAAGTAGAAAACATACTGATTTAGCCGGCGGAAGTTAAGCGCTACCTATTGGACCTGAAGCGTAAAAATGCGCCAGGACTGGACTCAGTGCACCCAGCCCACATGAGACATCCTGTTCTCATTCTGGTCAACGTTCCTGTGTAGTTTCATAGATGTTAACCTTTGAACAGTTGGCACCCAAAGTGGCGGAAGCTGGCCCTAGTCAGTGCCCTACCCAAGAAAGGATTTGAGCGACCGGATGTGAACTACAATTCAACCAGCTTTACTAGTGGCGTGCAAGATCAAGAAAAGTCTCCACGTACGTTAATGTAATCTTCAGGATAGACAAACAAGTTCTAGTTAGCATGGATCCCTTTAAGGACGACCGTGTCTCTTTAACGGTCCTACAGTGGTGGTTAGGCAGTTTAGGTTATCTCTTTAAACGGTTACAAAACATTGTAGAAAGGCCTCGCAGTACGAACGAGAAGGCAGGCAACTGAATCAGAAATTTCCCCGAACGAAGCTCTTCGTGCGTAGGGTTCGAAACGCTATGTCACCTAAGTTGCCGATTTATGAAGTCCGTCCTTAAGGTTCAGTGACCAGACCGGTGATTGCTACTGCTTACGCAAACGACCTCTCAGAAGTGGTTTGCAACAACTGTCTCATGTTTGTAGATGGTACTGGAATTTTACGTCATGCTACGGATCTTGCTCCTATCCAGGAAGACCTGACCAGTGTCCACAGACTGATTGGTGATAACCCGAAACAAGTGATCTAAGTGACTTAGAATTACACCTGCCAATGGTGCCAGGTAACGAGGTCACTCTATAAGCTGAATCTACTGCCAGACTGAGATTGCTGTCTTTGCTGAACATAAGCTACCAAAATAATATTTATAAATTACTGTTACGGCACGTCCTGAGCTTCCCCCTCTTCTTAAGCCTCCCCCCCCCACCGGAAAGCCTATCAGGCGAGTTGCGTATATTGTGCGCGACATTCGTCTGGTCGAACCCTGAGCTTGCTCGGCGGCATTGTCTCCATCCGGAAGGTTAAGGTGTTGGAGACGGCCCAAAACCAGAATAGTTTGTAAGTCCACGTCTGAAATTTAAGCTAGAAAAGGCGAATGGTCATGCTGTTGTGCAGTCTTGCTGCCGATTACATTTTCTTACCTTCCTCCTCACTGCAGATTTGCGCCGAACACCCAGGTTTAGATCACATTGTGAAAAGTGAAGTGTTCGCAGGCCCAAGGGGAGCTTGGCCGGCTCTTCATTGTCAGAACGTCTAGTGCAATAATCGGCCAGAATTCTGAATAGACGGCCGAATTAGTTGGTTTTGGGCTGATCGATTTTTTCTTCTGTCGCTGCCTTGGCCCTCTGACCGTTGTTTGTTAATGTTGGTGGTTTCCTGTGTTGTTTCGTCACCCCAACTGGGGTCGGTTGCGTTCGTGCACCCCATTTGGGTGAATTAGTCGACGGGCCGTGTTTGCTCGCTATTCTTGAGGTCCGTGCGACCGTCTAGTCCTGGAAATGGCGTAACAGACGTGAGACTGCGTCGAAGACCCCCTTAATGTAAGAAATTGCCCTCCGGACTTCGATTCGCTCTTCTTGTGGCCGTCGTCTGTTTACTCGGTACTTGCTCTGCTTGATAAAGTAGCTTGGGTAGGTAGCTACTCAGTAGGTAGGTACTCAGTTTTGGATTATCGTGACAAAGTCAACAACACAAAGCGTAGAATGCATAGTGCTAACACCCTGAGAGCACTACTCTTCGTCGCACAGTCCAGGAAAGTCTATCGAAGTCAAGCGAGGAAACCCAGCCTCCAACAAATACGCTGTCAGGCCGTTACAACTCAGTCTCACCATCCAATGTAGAACAAATATGGAGATTGGAGGTCACGTGGGGAAAATGCCAACGCCCGAGGCATCATCGTCGTCGTCGTCATCATCATCATCATCGCCGTCGTCATAATCGTAGTCGATCAATACTTATGGTTGTTCATTTAGTCAGACAGCCTTATGATGGCACGGTGGGAGGCATGACAGACTAACAGTTGACTCAAAAATATGTCACCTATAAGCCGCCTGTGAATGCAACCTTGGCAAGGGAGACCTTGGCGCAACACGGCAGAAGAATGACTAGAGTACTTATTCATGATTGTTACCAAAGACTGCAACGTTACAGCCTAGAAATTGCCCAATCCACGTCAGATTTCGAGGCACCTACTGGTAAAGGATCGAAGGATAATGAGAAAACCATCTTCAATCATGCTAGAAAGGTACTTGCCAAAATGGACACTGAAGTGATCGCAAAGGCTAACACCAGACAGGCGCGAGAATTCCTCGAAGCTTGGCATTCTGGCACGACCAGCATCAACTGCCACGTCGATCTAGACGCTCACTACGAGGGCTTACGTACACGCTCACTGTCTTGTTCCCACACCTCAACATTTGCTAACCCCCACTCGGCCACATAGACGTATGCTCTTTCGCCATTCCGCTCCCCCCTTGCGACACGGTGAACAACAACCGAACCCCCCCCCTATCACCTTCAACGCCGGCGCATTGGCCCCTGATCTCATCCCGCATCAGTGACCAGCCGCCCGCATTCCCACTAATTCGCAATCCCCACCCCCCCCCCGCGTTTTCACCGCTTCCAACACTGGGAGCCCTAACGGTTCTTCCTTCCCTCTCCCTGCCCCACGGCCTACCATAACTAGGTGCCCACCCCTCTCACACATCAGTTGTCTGTCCTGTCGCGCCAGCCGACCTAGTCTGCCGACTTTACTTTCCCTCTGGGAATGCACACCACACCTGTTATTTAAATAATTATCGGTAAAATTGGCCAAACTGAGACCAACTAGCTAAGATAACTCGTGGGGCGACCTTGTCCACAGCCTTTCATCTGAATCCCTCACCAGCACACAACTTGCAGTCCAGGGACATGGAGCTACTTTCTGCGCAGCGGGCGCCGCACCCCCAGAGTTTATTGCGCTTTTGAGTCTGTTCTTCAACTAACACAAACGTCAGATGAGACGCGAGAGTTGGTTTGCCACAAACCTTCCTCTTTCTTAATGCAACACAAGAAGAGCGAAACGCTCAGCAAAGAAGAACAGCAAACATTAAAACGCCTAAAGCGGATAAATACATAATCATCCTGCCGGCTGACAAAGGTCGTTCCACAGTAGTGCTTGACAAATCTGATTACCAAAAGAAAGCTTTGAGCCTACTGGACGATTTATAGTCCTATAAACTTTCTCCAGCCAGTGAGACGAAAAATCCGCTTACCTAAATAAACAAGTCTGGCTGAACTCAGGGAAAATGGGGCAATCGCAGACAGAGATTTGTTTATTATGAAACCTCTTAACTCCGCCGCGGCCCGGTTTTATGGTCTGCCGAAGGTGCACAAAGCGAACATACCGCGTAGACTCATCGTCTCCCTACGTGGCACTACTACATGCGGTTTGGCAAGATGGATGTTTGTTCGTCTTAAGTTCCCGGCAGAGGGTTCACTAACAACGGTGGCCTCTGCTAATCAGTTCCTTGAACGTTTAAAAAAATATAAAACTAGGGCAATATGAATCCATGGTACAACACACAACAACTGGCGATAGGTGTTGTGGGAAAACTTCTGGCTGACCGCTACGACGAAAGAGACAACCTTGAATACCGAAAATCTCATGAAGCTCTTACAGTATTGCCTAAAAACAGCTTTCATCTTTGGTGGGCAAATGTATGAACAAATCAAAGGCACCCCCATGGGCTCTCCCATATCAGGGCTGATTGCTGAAGTGATCCGTCAACGGATAGAACACCTGGTGTTCACCAAACATCAACCAAAGTTCTGAGCTCGTTACGTCAATGACATCGTCTCCTAGGTTTCTGATGCGTCTCTGACGACGTTCGGCTTGGGTATTGACCTGTGTAGATATTCTTTAAGAACTGACATCTTACAAAGTCAAGTAACTGGTCTACAACCACAGATGCTGAGCAGGTTACCGAAAAAACACTTTAACAAAGAAGGCCTCTAATGTCGTAAGCACGTAAAGCCTACGCACCCTGCACCAAAAATACTAAGATTTGTGCAAAAGACAATTGTCAAAAGACGGATGTGCAAGTCCTCATTGTTATTATAATGAACCTTTCGTCAAACCACTCTCCTTGTGAAGCAAATTATCCTCTTGTAAAACGGACTTTTGCTCACATTTTGACTTTTCTAATCTGTCGGTTTGCAGGTTATGTAACCTGCGAAGCCCCATTCATTACCAGAATTATATTGAATAAACAAGTGCATAGACAGGAAGAAAAAATACGAAGTGTAAAAATTTAAACAAAAAGAAATGTGGGAGTTGAAAAATCAGAAAACATTGTGAAAACTGCGTAGCTACATGCGCCACAAGTGGCCAACGCAAACAACGAACGCTTTCTTCACTTTGTGCGTCCGAATCTTAGCTCAGTAAAACCTAGGTGATTGTCTTGCGACATCCTATCTGGACGCTATATCGGATTGATTTTTCCGTTTTACTTGATTTTTTGCGAGTTTTTCACGAAGTCAATAAGACAGGCACAAGCGCCGTGGGCCTTGGTCGGATGAAGACGTGGAACCAACATAGTTGTTCAGTTAGAGGAAGATGGTGTTTTACTGCGTTCCCTGAATAACTTTGCTCCTCGTCTATATATACGATACTAAAACATGCACGCAGACACCTAAACCTGGTGTTAGGAAGTAGGAGTGTCAACGGAATTCTCGGCTAAATTTATGAATGACTGAAGTGTAAAAGATATTTTCGATGACAATGAAGCACAGTGACGAAACAACAGGCGTCTGCAAAAGCAACGAATACAGATGAAATCGCCCTTTTAATGCCACTCCAAGCACACTTCCAAACAATACATTTATATATAGTACCAGCGAAAGCGTTTTTTATGTGGGTAATAAAATGCGAAAATTAGAACGTAAGCCATTTATTGTCGTCACAGGTGTGCAGAGAATGTCACATTAGTCTGACATGTTGACTCAAACGCAGTTGAGCAGTTTCTAATTGATGGATTCGAGAAGACCCTGATATTATCCTCGTACGGTTCAACACAGGACTGGGGGAGTGTTTGTGCGCATTCGAGGTTTGTAAGACTGGGACTTGTGCCTCCAGGGACAATAGATGCGGCTGAGCAGGGAGAATTAATCGTGTTCAATGTCAAGCCGATAAGCTGTTTAGTATGTTTTTATTAGACATGCACGGAGACGCCTGTGCTGGGAGGCAGGATTATCAAGGTCCTGGAGCGAACCGAACTGAAATTACGTTTGCAACATGGTTCGGGTGCGAGGACACGATTGCTGGCCTGTTTTGCTGATGACGTAATACAAAGATAGCGTATATGCCCCAGAAAATTTGCAGCAGATTCTCCGCTTTGCCAAAAAGTGGCATATGAATGGTCTTTGGCGTTATACAACCTCAATAAACAAATTTTTGTGGACTCCAAAGTAATTGTAGTTGTATTGAGCGTCCGAAGGGCGATGTGGGGAAAAATGTCAGTGGTTAGTGCATGAAAATATTTACGAAAGTAAACAGTAAATACAATAAAAATTGTTCTATCAACCGCACATTTTCAGGCCCTGATAAATGCCGAGCATTCGATGAACTGAATAGTGAATGAGAAGTAATGCCCGCCTTGTAAAGAAGTCCATGTGCAAAGTTTGAAAACCTGAACTTACAATGACGTATAGAATGCTCATAAACAGCAAGATCCAATGGCATTAATTCCTTTTAAGACTAGTTTGCGATGGTTAACTGTCACCACAAGCGATGGAAACTGAGTAAATAATATGAATAAATTTACAGCTATTCAACAAATCCGTACTAGAGCTAATAAGGGTAAGTAATTGGCGCAGATCCTGGAAGACATGCAGGCTTGCTATTTTATTTGGGGAAACAGTTTGCAACACCTTTTCAATGGTGGCGAGCATGGAAACTCCTGAAAGCAAGCAATGGATAGTTACGGTTGTATGGATGGAATTATTTACGCCTGGCCGTAATGTTTATCTCGAAAATTTTTAAGTATAGTCTTACCCATTGGAGTTCCCTTGCTTTGTCCATAGCTCTCTCCAGCAAAAGTAAAGAAATTTTTTGGCGGAATCCAAACAACCTCATGAGGTGTTTAATTCTGAGTGCATTCGGAGTCTCATCGTACGCCTCTTCAAGTCTCTTGCCAAGACTTCGCGGGCCACGTTTGGTGGGATGGATGTAAATAACGATGGCACATCGAAGGAGACCATGATTTCGCTCGATTGAATCCTCCGACATCGGAGGTCTATGAAGGTTTGAGAGGCTGATCGGACTGAGGTAGTCGAACTGCCTTGGAGGAACTTTAGTTCTGAGTACATCGACTATGCCAACTTGTAGTTGGGGCTGCCTTTTAGGGCAACGATTGGCCGAAGTGGGACATTTGCTTTATGGATTTTTGGCAGACCTTAGAATCGAGCTAGAGCGGCGTCATTTGCCTTCATTTGGTGTCATTCATCTTCCGTTATCACATTTCTATGCCGGAATTCTCTGCGCATTTTACTCAGCCGATCTGCCACTGCGTTGGCCTGTGAGTTCTGTGCTGGTGTGTAAAATTCTCTGTCATTAAGAAGGGCTTTAGCGTTTTCATTAGACTCCTCTACGGCATGGGACGCTCATCCGGCGTCCTCATATGTCTTCTGAATATAGCGCCTAGAAATGTGCTTGGGCATTTGCAGGCACAAGCAAGTAAACCGCGCGTGCACTAAATTTTAGGTAGTATACGTTTTTTCACTTCCTTTGCCATCTATAACGCCCTGATCCGCACAATCTCGATTTTCCCCAAACCATAATTTTTAGTGACTTGATAGGTAGTTTAAGGTGAATGAGTAACATAAAGTCAAACAATCAAAAATGACAAGGTTATCTTCCAGAGCTTGAAGTTCGTCGATAATAAGCTAGTTTGAAATGCGTTAGAAAAAACAAGAGAAAGATGGTAGTGAAAAGACAGGTCCTTTTTTCCGTTGGTGGGTTGTTCCCAATTAGTATGTTGCGTAATCTGTTTGTATGTCATATCCGCTTATGCTATGAATCCATTTGTTTCAGGGACGCAAGTCAGCTGATGGTCAGGTCAAATGAAATCTTACTAAAACAACTTTTAAGGCTGTGAATCAAGGTCCCTTGTGTAGCTATCGCTAAACACCCCAGTGAGTGAACACGCCGTTAGCATAAAAGAGTTCTCCCTTTCATTGCGCTAGACGATTCGGCCGTCGTCTTTGTCTATGCCCACATTGTGTTCCAAGGCAGGATGGGAACAGAAACAGTGACTCGCGCATAATTTCATTTATAGTGATAACAGACTTGCGAATGATCTGCCGCACCCTCTCCCCTCCCCACATAGACCCGGCGTTACGACAGAGTAAAGAATGCCGGCAGTGGGAAATGGCGCAAGTTGCTGGCACGGTAGCAAAACCCCACAACGACTCACTGATTGGGAGTGCCACATTAAGCAGGGACAATTATAGCCTGTCTGTCAGTCCACCAGTCCGCCGCTCCACACAAACACACTGCTCTGACTGCGAAGTTTGAGTTATCCCATCAGTTGGCAGCCTTCAAAGTGCCGGCTTTTAATGCACCAAAACAGATTTAAGCGCGCCAGGCTGTTGATAGTGGAGAATATGCGCTGAGACGCTCAATCTCGCTTTCTCTCTTCCCATTTTTAAGTACCAGTCCACTTTCCGATCCAGTCAGATAACGGATGCCGGAGGTAAGCATAATGGTTGACAAAGTTAAATAGCTCGTCTGCGCACGCCACGTGCACCCAAGAGGAAGCGGCTCAAATTGCCATTAAGAAGGAGTCATCGCAGTCTGACTCTCAGTTCATCTGTCGGCCACTCGACACACAGACATACACTGGGCTGACAGCATGGTATGATTTAAATCTTTAGGTAGAAACTAACGAAACCGCGAATTTTTGCGCACCGATTGTTTGACGTAGTGATTATGCACTTCAAGTGTCGTGGATAGGAAGGTTGCTGATTGATGCCCGCTCTCGGTTCATGCAGTTCGTCGCGTTGTGTGTGTGTGCTGTGTGGAGTGGCGGACTGGTGGGCTGGGAACGGGCTGAAGCAGCACCTTCCACGGCCCTTTCACGCAAGTGAGAGACACGCCGTTCAGCCCCCGTTGTGTGAAATCCTGGTGTTTGTGTGTATGGGGGGCCAGGTCGTGCTGTGGCGCGCGCAGTCACGGTCAGTCGACCGTGGCAGCCACCGCGCCCATCCACCACTCCAGTTTGCCGACCGGCTCGGACGGCGGCTGGAGTGTGGGAATGGGAAGGGAGAGTGAGGTCGACGACTCAGCGCACTTTCTCCTCACTATAATCAATCTGACGCGCTTGAAGCTATCACGGTGCGCTAAAAGCCGTGGCTTGGAAGGTTGCCAACTGACGGGGTACCTTGGACCTCCTCCTTAAAGGGAGGCGGTCTGAGAGTCAGGCTGCAATGGCTCCTTTTTAATGTGGCCTTTATAGCACTCCCATCACAGTGTGGGATCCGAGCCAGGCGTCGGCGGCACGCCTAGGTGCGGCTTCGGCCGTGCCAGCCTGCAAATCTCTGTTGTGTTGGTTGAAATCCTGGTTATTGTTGTGTGGACTAGGGGGTGTGGTGGAACGCTAAGGTGAGGATCCGTCCGAGCCATCCACCTGCAGCCTCCCTCGTCTCCGGTCTTCTTGACTCTGTCTTGACACCGGGCTCTGGCGAGGGAGGTGGAGAGAGTGTAGGTAGATGCAGCGCAAGTCTACTGGCACTATAAATCCCTGCGCAAGTCACCGTCCCTGCTCCAACCTGCTGTGGGGCACACGGTGGACATCATCGAAATCGATGGTCGAACTGTCGATTATGCACTGAGAGTCGACTTACCTCGCCTTACCCTTTACTTCGCACCAGTCTTGTGCCCGAGTCGGTCAACTAGAGGATGCTAAGATTGGGATAGGTTACTGACAGAATCGAGAACAGCTCATCTACGCGAGCCACACACATGACCTGGCGCCTTGTACACGTGCACCAGGATAGAGCGCTGGAGGCGTCCAAATGTGCTGCATGCATTGGTGGGGAAATGTGTGGTGATGTAGTCTGGACTGCGACGATTTACCGCAGGTCTTCGTGGAGGCTCATCTGACCGACGAGGCCCATACCATGGCCTAATGTACGAGGACAATGTGGCAGTTGAGACAATGGCGGCGGTGTACACTGGTGCCCCAGGCACCGATGCATTTGGCCCAGAGATGCCCTACAAACCCGGTTCGCGTTGGCAGCGTGGGCAGGTTGGAAGAGTTTGAGCGTTGGCGTTATAGATCGAGAAGGCTTGCGAATTCCGGGTCGTTCAATCGGTGTTAAAAGCAACTAGTCGGTTGGCTTAATGGATTGGCGCTCCAGTCTTCACTGCTTCTCCCCGTTCCGGTCTGTGCTAGGTCTTTCTAGGTCATCGGTTCGAGGAATTCTTCAAGTTGTCCTTGTAGCGGCTTGTTTGGCCTCCTTGTCATTGAGTATACATATCGGCATCTCCGTAGAAGAGACGTCTGGGTGTTCGTTCATGGTCAACCTCAATAGGTGGTCAATCCGTCGCAGTTGCGGTTGTCTCAGAATGGCGTGTATGCTGAGGATTTTGGTCCGACCAAAAACTTCCACGTTGGGGATCCTGTCTTGTCACTTCAGCTTTAGGAATCTACGAAAACAGCTGGGGCGGAAATGATAGAGTCTTGGAGTTTGTTACCTGTAGACTCTCCAGGTGTCGGCGCCATAGAGCAGCGTCGAAAAAATGACAACTGTGTATATCTGAAGATTGGTTTTGAGGTGGAGACCGTGGCGATTCCATACGGGGTTCTGCATCTGACTAAAGTCTCAGTTGGCTCTGCAGATCCGGTAAGTCACATTGTCGTCAATTTTGAGGCAACCTGAGAGGGCGCTGCCTGGGTAGGCAAAGCTGTTTACGGTTTACAGATGGGTGCCTTTGATGTAGATGCGAGGAAGATTGTATACAAAGTTCGATAGCTGCTGATGTATGATCACCTCTTTGTCCGTGCTGTGGTTAGCCGAAGACGACGCAACCGAAACGAAGAGCTCCATGCTCCGTTGCATGTCACGGTGTCACACGCGCAGTCATCCGCGAAAAGCAGATTGGGGACAGTAACCGTGAAGTAACGATTTAGGATCTGTAAACTGTAATCCTGTACATTAGCATTAAATACAATTATTATTATTATTATTATTACTATTACTATTATTATCCGCACATGCCGATTTCATAAATCTGGTATCGTTCCTGTAAGCGAAGCAGATCCCGAACACACACCACGATAGGCGTCCAGCAGCAAGACAGAAAACATGAAGTTGGGGAGGTTTGGGGAGAGAAAAGAGCCCTGCTTCACTCCCAAGATCACTACGAATGCTTCTGAGGCGGTCCCGATGTCCGTGGCGTGTGCCGCTATCTGGTCGTGGAGCTGAAACACCATGTGCGTGAATCCCTCAGGTCAGTCAAATTTCTGCATGATTTTCCATGATCCGTGGCGATTCACCGTGTCAAAGGCTCTCGCCAAGCCCATGGGGGTAATCTGGAGGTGGTTCTGAAGTTCATGACATTTCTCTTGCAGTTGGCGAGCGGCGAAGATCACGTTGGTGATTCCACGGCTACGTCGGAAGATGCCCTGGCTTTCCGGGAGAAGCCCTTTTTCGAGATGGCCAATGAAACGGTTGAGGAGGATACAAGCTAAGATATTTCCGACAATGCCGAACAGCGAGAATGCACTGTGGTTATCACTGGGGTGCCAGTTAAGTTTCCTCTTGGGGAGATGGAGGTCGACGCGTCCTCGAAATCCTGAGGAATTTGTCTTCGGCGCCACCTCTCCTGGAAGATCGGAGGCTCGGAGCCTTCGTGTTTGCTAACTTCGGCAGGGTGTGCAAACCCACCTCCATATTGCCTTCATGGAAGCCTACGACAAGGTGAATCTCGGTAGACTCTGGAAAATCATGCAGAAATGCGATTGTCCTGAGTGGTTCACGCACACGGCGCATCAATTTCACGAAGGGATGATAGAGAGCATCCCTGAAAACGGGGCATCTCAAAGGCATTCGAATTGACCGACGGAGTGAAGAAGGGTAGACTCGGCCATCGGCGTAGCAGAGGGCCCTCCTTACAATCATGTCCCTTCGAACTCGCCTCCGGATGAGAATGAAATCTAGCAGCTGCCAGCGTCGCGATCGGGGGTGAATTCTGGTTGCCTTCTTCCACGTCTGAGGGCCATGTTCTGTGCGAGTAGGCAAAACAAGGAGACTGTCGGCTTTGAAGCCGCCGATTTTATGGTGATCCAGCACCCTCATTCGGACAACATCGTCTGTCCCAACCCAGTCATCAAAGTGGCCAAGGACAGGTAGTTCGTCCGCCTTCGGTACAGTTGACAAGAGGACGTTCAGATCCTTGTAGAGTTTGTTATCCGTCTAGTCGGAGCTGACTATTGGAAAGGCGTAGGCATTGATAATGGTAGCGAATTTAGATCCCCAAAGAGATAAACTTAGGGCAATAGGACGACCCGTGATGCCCTGCGAAGGACGGTCAGTCGTTTCGATATGCTTTTCCGGATGTAAAGCAGCACAATATCGTCCCGGCGCTCTGCAGCCAGTACCCATATCCTCCATTTGGCCTCGTTCGAGGAAGCTGGCATAGCTTAGCACAGCGATGTCAACGTCGTAACGTGCCACTTCGCTACCGACTAGTGCCAACTTCCGATCCGGCCAGTTGCTCTCTAGCTTGTCTAGGAGGAAGCATACACTCCAGGCCAACATAGAGAGCGGGCGCACCCTCGTAACCTGTAGCGTAGGGCAAGTGAGGTTGCTGATATTCATTTTTGGGCTTCGGCTGCGAGATCTGCACGAAAAAGCCACGGTGCACTTGTAGATACCGTAAGTTATGGCATTTGTTTAGGGCACATTTTCTTATCCCTCCCATACGAGAGGATAAGCCGTTCTATCCCCAAATACGGATGCTCGGACTTCACGGACGGCCTCGCTTAGTGTACAGCGACCCTAATCAGGTCGAAGCGCCTATGAGCTCGCGTGTCGCCCTCTGCCCCGGACATTCCGAATTAAAAGAGTGAAAGGGGAGTACAGGAGGGAATGGAGGGAAGGATGGAACTGGGAACAGAATTACCGGGTGTGAGCACACTCACAACGTCGGAAACGCTCACCTGGTTCGGCCCACTGGTCAGAGCAGTTACCATGACGTGACCACTAGGCAAGGCCTAGACTCGGGATCCAAAGCTGAGAGTTGGGTGTTATCGTGCCTATTCATTTTGCTATAATTTTAATATGCCTCTTTTCAAGGGTGAGGCCTTACGTGCTGGGATATACTCTCACCGCATTCCTGCCCAGTTGCTGAAGAAGTTTAAATTCATGGATATTCATTGCTTCTGATTCATGTCATGAATCGGTAGAAAGCAGCTGAAGAACGGACACAAGACTTGTGACCAGCAATAAATTCTGTTACATTTGCCTCTTCCAAATTTATATGAAGAAGTTCGATCTAAGATTAAGCGCTGTGCATTCAATACACTGTGTGATCGAGTTCAACTTCAATATGTGTACAGGACAAGGTCAGTCTTCTAAGCCATAATAAGAACACCTGGTTGCTGTCTGTAAGAAGTAGGCAGAAGTTAATGAAACCGCAGGCTCTCTTGCTTTCATTGCGGTTCAACATTAACTGCACCCAGTTGCTTTATCTCTCTAAACTACTTCTGTAAGAAGGTAGAGAGAAAATATCTATGCGTTCATCAATATCATCGTTCGATGCTTGCTAATAACGGTCCTCTGAATAAGCATTTGGAGGCGTCATGGAATGTCGCAAAAGTAAAATATGAACTGAACGGACATGTTCCATAAACATTTTAAATCCGATTAGTGTAGATAGACCACCGCAAGTACTCCCTCTGCACTACTAAGTTAACATAGGGCAAAATATGAATTCGGAAATGAAAATGCAACACGATGCTTTCGAATCAGTTCCAAGATATGCTCCCTAAGCAGCACTTCACACAAAATCTGAATGCATGTTTCGCGCTGGTAATTAGTTCGCCTAACAGACATAAGGACTCTGTATATCTTCGAAGTTAAAAACCTGCGCTTGTATCCCATAGACAAGCATTCGAATTTTTCAGTTTTTATTCAAAAACACTTACGATGGAGCGCCGCAAACAGCACTTAACGGGCCACGACTGCAATTTTCTACCTTGACAATTATTTAAATGTGTGGATATAATGTGGTTACGATAGTCTTATTTTGCAGTGATACCACGAGTGCAGGTTAGCGAAACCTATTCACAGCTCGATTGGCGTAAATAACCGGCCTGACAACGCATGACACCTTTGCAAACGTGAGTCCAACCAGGGTGGAAGGGGCCACAGTCCTGTCCGAGGAGTTGTTCGTACTGAATTTTGAGCACAAACGATTAAGGGTGTCAAAGGTTTTTACAGTAAAATCGAGATATAGTAGATAACCTAACTGATGAAATGTGGTGAGCGGCATTTGAGAAGGCAGTAACGGTGTGAACATGTTTGCATATTGGATTAATGCAAGGCGCAGCTGCCCTTGCGGCTCCCGCAACCACAACCTAGGGCAATGGAACACCACCCCTCGGCAAAAGCAACACACACTGATTGGACACCATTTGGACTTGGCCCACCAGCATACAAAAGCAGCCGCCACCACTGTCAATGGGATTCTAAGGCATGACTGGACACAGTCAGTACCAGCCCTGGCTTCGCCAGTGGTCACTGCCGCCTGAGAGGAAAGTCTGGGGTCTGTGCACAATAAACCCCTCATTCTGGTGCCTTCTGTCTTCTCTTTCTACAACACGGGATTTGACTGGATGATTGTAGCGCCCTGTGCTGACAATCCCACAGCTTGTTGCTACATATTTAAATAATTTCCAACATTATTAAGCATCGCGTGTTAAAGCCTCATAGACTTATAGGTTGGGCTATAAGGCAATTTTTAAGTAAATTCAATCTAGGAACGGAAAATTGGATTTTGCGCCAATGGAAATAGGGTGGATTCAGACATGCGAAGTCGCGCTGGTTCCAAAAAAGAACAAACAGATTAGGCCCTAAAATTCTACTTTGCAAATTCTTCACTGTTATGCCGTAAAATCCAGCAATAAATTCGTCTGATAGTAGTTCGTTTTATCACACCGAGAAAAGCAAAATGCAGTCAGCTAAGTACTGATACACTGTATTTGTTATTGTTTTCATCGTTTTTCTCGTTGTATGACACCTTCCTTTTCTGCTGGTAGTCATATTAGGCCTTTAATAATTGATCTGTCATCAAATCGTTTTCTTTGATTCGAAAATTTTCGATAAGATAAAATATCTCTTAGTTAATAAATGGTATTGTATCAATTAAACTGTGCCTCCTTAAGATCAATCGCCTCTCTACAGTAGGATAGCTTTCATGGATACGGGGAGAACGGCTTGAGCTCTACAGGGATTTTAGTGCGAAGTTCGTAACCTTCCGTCAGATAGGCCTCGAACTGTAGGTATGTTTAATGTGTAGTACACCCTGTAGTAGAAATTTGAGGTAGTGGTCAGAATCACATGTTCGCCAGTGAATAGCAGAAGCTTCAATGAAATACATACACCAACACAACAATTCTTACCACTTGCGTTAGCTGTCGCCAATGATCAAGACATATTTATTAAGGCTAAACTACTTTTGCTTGCGGGAGTCTTAAAACAGTGTTCCAGGTCAAAAGAGAAACAAGCTATACTGATTGACAATACAGTAGGTTTTGCAACGCTTCGATGTACGTAGAGCGCGGGCGGTGTTACATACTGATTTCACATAACATGCGCACTATCGTCAAACACGCCCTGCCGTTGGCAGCGAAGGAGATCACGAAGTCTCATGACATGATGAGATTAACCGTCTACGCCACGTCGGCGTCGTTCACATGTAAAGGAAAGTTAACATATATCCAATTACAAAAATAACGAGGACGAAATTTGCCACCAACTGCGTACGAGAGAGAATAATTTTGTGCATGTGTTCCATAAAATTCATTTGAATTTATAGCGACATTAAAAATCAACGGGAGGAATTCAAAGTACGTAAGTGACAGTAGTTCTTTCGGGCTGTCGGAAAGAGGTTTGTTTGAAAGCCGGTATCCTGACGCTACTAAAATATCTTGGGGTAATTCTTCACGATAATTAATTCCGTAAACAACTACCGACCGGTAAGCCTCACCTCCATATGCTGCAAAGTTATGGGGCGAATTATCAAGCGCGAACTGATGCGGTTTTTAGAACAACATCATCTTCTATCTGATGTACAGCATGGGTTCCACGGAAGAAGGTCTTGCTTGACCAATCTACTCTACTGTCTTGAACAGTGGCCCCGAGCGATTGATGAAGGAAACGTGGTGCATGTAGCCTATATAGACTTCAAGAAGGCCTTCAACAGCGTGCCACACCAACGTCTCCTACACAAGCTCAGCCGCATAGGGGTAAGAGGCAAGCTTTTGAAGTGGGTTGAAAACTTTTTGATCAGATGGTCTCAGACTGTCCTTGGTGGCCAGCAATCGGAAGAGGTGACGCTTACGAACTGAGTACCTCAGGACTCCGTTCTTGACCCTATCCTCTTCCTCATCTATACTGATGACTGCATCCAAGGGTTGGATTGCGAAATTGCCGTGTTTGCTGACGATATAAAGCTTTGAACGAGGAC